TTAGGGCTCGCTGAATTCCAACTACTTCTTCGGCGGCGGTACTTAATGATCGGGAAATGTGGTTCCACTGCTCGCGTACGTCGGATTGTTGAAGAGTGCTCTCAGAGAGCAGGTGTGTGAGTCGAGTGGCGAATAAATTGGCCGTCTGTTGTGATTGCAGCTTTTCGACGTTAAGCTTTCCTTGCATTGTTGGGCGCACATTTTTTGCTGCACAGAGGCGGGTGCGTATCTTGGCTACAACAAGATAGTGGTCCGAGTCGATGTTTGGCCCTCGGAGTGTACGTACGTCCAAAACGCTTGAAGCATGCCTTCCGTCTATCACAACATGATCGATTTGGTTTCTCGTTTTTCGATCTGGAGACAGCCATGTAGCTTGGTGGATGTTCTTATGCTGGAACCTAGTAACTAGGTCCTAGATCCTTGGACGCCTCATCCATCTCTTCCGTCGGGGCATGGGCGCAGATGAGCGAGATGATGAAGAATATAGCTTTGATGCGGATTGTGGCTAGACGTTCGTCCACTGGGTTTAACGCCAGTACTCGGCGACGGAGTCTCTCTCTTACCGCGAATCCAACAACGAATTTGCGCTTCTTTACGTGGAAACTGTAGTAGACGTCGCATGGCTTGACGCTTACTTTTCCTTGCCCCGCCCATCGCATTTCTTGGATGGCGGAGATGTCAGTCTTTGTCTTCCCGAGGACATCAACCAGCCCGGCAGAGGCACCTTCCCCATTAAGGGTCCGGAAATTTCAGGCGCATACCCTTAACTCGTAGTCCTTTATACGTTTGCCGTGGTCGCCATCAAAAAAAGGGTGTCTCATCCGAGGCTGTTTGTTCTTTTTCCTTAGGCGGGGTTTTAACGTGGCGGGACCCAAACCCAGCGCACGCGAAATTTTACGCCTTCTCACTTTAGCTCGGTCCCAAACGGGTATTTGGTTGCTACCCAGAGGATACGTGGATATAAATATCCAGACGTCACGGGGGTCAAGTCTAAACTATATGGTGGGTGGTGCATTGTCTTGCAAAAGCAGGACCCTTTTGGCCTCTTCGTATCTCGACAACCACTTTACGCGCTTTTGTTAACAATGAAATGAATTAATGAAAGTGTAATGATGCCAATGAATAGCATATTAGAAATCAGTAACACACAGGACAATACATTGATGACATTTAAAGGTACTATGGCTCAAAACTTTTCAGCCATCCCTCTTAAGAATTTTCCTTTTGTTTCTATATCCCCTTCTTTCCCTAGCTGGCATAATGCAAAATATTAATCGGACGCCTTGTACTCATTCACCTTCGGATCAACTGAATTTGCTTCCATATTCAACTTGGAAAAGGCAGATAAAACGGTGCAGTTTTTGAGAACGCCGACGTCGATAAGATCGGCACAGTTCTGTGGCATATATTACCATCTCTAACATCAAATTAAAGATATCACAGGAATGGTAATATCCTTGCCTGAACTCTCGTGTTATATCAAACGGGTCGGAGAGTTCCTTCCCAATTTTGACGGAGCTGATGGTATTGTCATACGTCTGTAGAAACCCAGGATAAAATTGTTCACCATTGTAACAATATTTTTTAACTAAGTATTTTTAGAAGCATATTCCACTATTAGTAAATGGGTGGTAAGTGGTTAAAGTCACCAAACACGGTTTTATGCGTGGCGCCGCAACGCCTAACGATATACGTAGGTGAGGTTAGCTTGCAGTGGCTGCTAGGCCCAGAGGGCGCCACACTTAGGCCCGATCAGGGCCCATTGTGATACCAAATGGATCCAAAAACCCCTACTCCTTAAACCAGTTCGTGGCGTCTGCGAACCTTAGCAACTGCCGTATTCCAAACTTAGCAGTTGCGCTTAGATCGTCTAGAAGACCTATACCTAGTGCTGGGCAATCGAAGAGTAAGTGCCTTATTGATTCAGGCTCTTTTTCGTCGTGGTAGCTCCTACAGTAGTCGTTGTGACTAACCTCGAGGCGTTCTGCGTGCCTTCCTATCAGGATATGTCCTGTGAGCAGACCAATGGCAAATGGTGACATATCGCCTTTATTGAGAGTGAGAATTTCTCTCAATCTCCGTACATCCCATTTTGGCCATGTAAGCTTCAGTTACAGTTTTCAGTGCGCTGCCATCTGAAGGCCGCTTCTTCAAGGAAGTTCTCCCTTAGTAAGAGCTTGCAGGAAGCGAGTGGCATACCCATCCTCTTCCAGGCTGGTTAAAGTGGAGAGGAAGTACCCGCCTTTGCAAGCTCGTCTGCCTTCTCATTTCCTGGTATGTCACTGTGCCCCGGTATCCATACCAGGTGCAAAGCGAACTGCTCTGCCATCACATTAAGTGATTTGCGGCAGTTGGCAACTGTTTTCGAATTTATAGTGACAGAGTCAAGCGCCATAAGGGCCGCCTGACTGTCTGAGTATATATATATATTTCCGTAGTGGCGATAACAGCTAGTCTTAAGCTGTCAACGGCTTCTTGTATGGCTGCCAATTCGGCCAATTCGGAAAGAAACTACAGTGGTCAGTTAGTCGGAATGATCTTTTTATTCCCAATTTCTCCGAGTAAACGCCTCCTCCTAGCTTATAAAAGCTGTTTGTGATCATATCATCTTTGTCTTCCGTTGGGACGTGGGCATAATGCAAGATATGACAGGAGCGCACTTTGCAGCGGATGTCGCAAGACGCTCGTTCACCGGTAGTACTCTCCCACAACGCTCCTTTACAAGGCAGCTGTAGAAGGCGTCGCGAAGTCCTATGATTTGTTTAACTTTCTTGTCTATCGAGTTTCTTAGGTGACGGGGATGGGTGGCACTAGTATCAGGAATTAACTAATCGGGTTTGTCATTGAAAGTAGGATGTCATAGGAAAGTAGGATGCATTCTCTGATTTCAAAATGTAGTGGACAAAATCTGAAGGTTAGTGAGTGGGTAAGTATATTTGTTGTTCTTTCACGCTAAAAAGGTTGGATAAACATATGTATTTCAAATAAAATTTGGCACACAGACAGGTGGATTAACATAGGACGTTATTGAACTAAATTCTGAAATATAGTTTTTCAACCGTTTGCTGAGATAGGGCGTTTTCGAACCGGCAGCCAAGAGGTTATACCTTGCATATGTGGTCCTATTATAGGATTCTAGAAAATTCGATATGTAACGCGGAAGTCAAGCTATTTAGAAAATCCGTATTATCTCTGACCGAGAGGGGCCAAGTTTGTAGAATAAAATGAACAATGCCAGAATATTCAGAAGAAATGTAAGAGTGGCTAATTAGCGGGGAAAGATTTGAGCACATCCTTCCAAGAAAAAATACGATAGGATTTTTCGCCCTACTATAATCTACTACAAGGACGTCTGTTGGCTTACATGACGCATCGGACCAATGTTGTAGTTGCAAGATCATAGAAAAANGTCCTATGATTTGTTTAACTTTCTTGTCTATCGAGTTTCTTAGGTGACGGTGATGGGTGGCACTGGTATCAGGAATTAACTAATCGGGTTTGTCATTGAAAGTAGGATGTCATAGTAAAGTAGGATGCATTCTCTGATTTCAAAATGTAGTGGACAAAATCTTATTAATATTACAAATCTGAAGGTTAGTGAATGGGTAAGTATATTTGTTGTTCTTTCACGCTAAAAAGGTTGGATATACATATGTATTTCAAATAAAATTTGGCACACAGACAGGTGGATTAACATAGGACGTTATTGAACTAAATTCTGAAATAGAGAGTTTTTCAACCGTTTGCTGAGATAGGGCGTTTTCTAACCGGCAGCCAAGAGGTTATACCTTGCATATGTGGTCCTATTATAGGATACTAGAAAATTCGATATGTAACGCGGAAGTCAAGCTATTTAGAAAATCCGTCTTATTTCTGACCAAGAGGGGCCGGGTTTGTAGAATAAAATGAACGATGCCAGAAAATTCAGATGGAATGTAAGAGTGGCTAATTAGCGGGGAAAGATTTGAGCACATCCTTCCAAGAAAAAACACGATAGGATTTTTCGCCCTACTATAATCGAAAACGCACATCTGCGCTCCTCAGCTTCCTTACAAGGACTTCTGTTGGCTTACATGACGCATCGGACCAATGTTGTAGTTGCAAGATCATAGAAAACGGTTACACACGCTTGGCAGAGATCTCTTCTTCCTCTTCTTTCTTTTTAGTACTACAACTGTTTGCCGGTTTGGGCCTAGACCAAAAAGCTTTCCAATTACCTCTCTTCTGTGCGAATTTGCGCCAGTTGCTCATCCCGTATGCGGACAGGTCCTTCCAGCACAGTCACTGTATTTTTATGCGCTTAACTATGTCCACGTCGTTAAAATGCGAATACAGTTCGTCATTCCATCTTCTCCGATATCCGTTGTCCACGCGAACAGGGCCATAGATCTTGCGTAGAATAGTTCTCTCGAAAGCACCCAAAACCTTCTCATCTTTGTTTGACACTTTCCACGTTTCTGCGCCATATAGAGGAACGGGAATGACGAGACAGACGAAGTCCTTCACTACTTCAAAGTCATAGGTGCCAACAGTGTCGTGCTAACACGTGGACTCTTTACATGTTGCCAGGAGGTACCTTGCTTTGTCCATGCTAATGCTAATGATTTTTGTTATCGACATTCCTAAATAGTGTTTCTTGACGAAAACGGACNCTCTTCTGTGCGAATTTGCGCCAGTTGCTCATCCCGTATGCGGACAGGTCCTTCCAGCACAGTCACTGTATTTTTATGCGCTTAACTATGTCCATGTCGGCGTGGAATAGTTCTCTCGAAAGCACCCAAAACCTTCTCGTCTTTCCACGTTTCTGCGCCATATAGAGGAACGTGAATGACGAGACAGACGAAGTCCTTCACTACTTCAAAGTCATAGCTGCCAACAGTGTCGTGCTAACACGTGGACTCTTTACATGTTGCCAGGAGGTACTTTGCCTTGTCCATGATAATGCTAATGATTTTTGTAATCGACATACTTCTAAATTCCTGAAAAGTGTTTCTTGACGAAAACGGACTATAATCAAATAATTGATGCCCTGACTCTAGAAATTTATAATAATAGATTGGCGCTTACACAATGTGTATGCTAGTGCTTGGCCGAGCTTCTTCTCCGAGTTGTAGAGTGCACCTTGATGTTGTCACACAAATGGGAGGGACCTACAGTTTTATGCCGACTCCGAACGACGATTGTATATTTATGAGAAGCTCGGAGGTTTGCCATTGCCCACCAAGGGGCGACCGCTATTAGAAAAAACTGTAGACTCTAGAAATTTAATAAATTGCCACTTTTACAACTGATTTTAAATCTTATTCAAGTCCCATCGAAATGAACTTTTGTTTAATTTTGTAATTTTGTTTAACTTTGTATAAAAATTATAAAAAGGGTACAATTCAACACCGCCCCTGCATCTAACGCACTTTTATGTACTATAGATTGCCAATGCTTTTCCAATGGCTGCGAATACCAGTGTTTGGTTTGCTTAATCATATACGAAAATTAACAGAAATTCGTAATGGCCTCAATGGTGATAACCGAATATTGCAAACGACTTCAACGTTGCCTGCAGAAGGATGCGATACCATACCGCCGCACTGATATGATTATAATTTTTTGATCCTTTCGTAATGGCTGACACAGCGTAAACTTTAATTAGAGGGTCACTGCTGCAGGCAAACAACGGCAACAACAACAGCAAGGGTGCTACCTCGAAGAGTTGGTACAGGTAATTGAGATGAGATAAAGTGAATCAAAATTAAATTTGGGCGAACGAGATTATTAACTCTTTTATTGTGTCAGTTACTGCCATGTGCCCACGGTCATACACATTTTTGTAAATCTTTTTGTAAATTTCCATACTATCATTAAATTGTATGCCCGAAAAGTCATAAAAAAACAAATTCAATCGTTTTATATATGTACATACATATCTACGTATGAATGTAAACGTAATATGCAATTTATTTGATTCTCGTTGCATATTTAATGCAGCGCAAGCTTAAATTTAATACTTGTATGTAGATACATGTGCGTTCAACCCAATAGGGATCCAAGTATGCCACCAGGACCTCCTAACAATCCACCACCTTGTGTACCAAGAGCTGGCGGTTGTGTTGGAGACTGTCCACCAAGTCCACCCAATACACCACCCAAAAGATTGCCAACTAGTGGGAGACCATTCAAGTTTAGCAGGCAACTAAAAAAGACATTAAATAGATATAAAAATTAGCCACAAATGTACTGCAACGATTATCGCTTTTTATAGTTAATACAAATTAATATTTAGAGGCGGTTTCACAGTGGCAAGTTAACTGACGTTGAAAATTAATGGCTGAACATGAGTTAGCTCGCAGTGCCAGAACGCCTCTTATGCCGGATTTCCATTTGATATTGAAATGACAAAGATTTTAATGACGAAGCCTGGCATTAAATATCCTTGCCGAATTAATTTTTTTGCAATTATTGTCATTTTAAAACAAGTGGAAACTCGGTATTAGACAACTATTACTTCGATTCCAAACTTTTCGATATTTTTTTTTCGATTTCTACAACATTTTTATCAACTATTCAAGTATTATTAATCGAATAAAATATTTTATTAAAAATGTGAACCAACTGGTGATTTTTTTATAACGAAAAATAACACGATAAAGAACTGATACAACTAAAATTAAAGATAAATTGTGATTGTAAAAGTAGTAGTCAGAAAATTACGACTTGCAAAGATTTGAACAAGCCACCAAATACAGTCATATTTTACTTACCGTAGATCGAGACGTAGCAATTCTTGACAATCCCATTGGCGTATGCACTGTGAAATAAAAATGTATTAAAAATTATCGAATTTAATTTCTACTAAAAGATGCAGGCCTTTGTTTCAAACTGTACGGTTGTGAATAAAGAGCGTTTTTACGGTATACAAGTTAGGTAAGTATATAAAATGATAATCACAAATTCGTATAAATATTTGAAGCGAAATGTTAAATATCAGACTACACTAACAAATTTTTGCCTGCATTGTTTGTTGGCTACGGCTGGCTCCTTCTGGCCAATAACTTTTGGGTATTACAACATTCGAACAATGAGTATATCAACCCTGTTATAAAATTTTAGCACTCCTTGTCCAAAGGACTATACAGCAAAATTGCTATCTTAAGGATGCCTATATCCTTTGATCCTTGATACTGTCTAAGAAGGTGGGATTGAAGTAATGCACGCCCAGTGTCAGATACTTTATAACGCACTACTTCCCTCTACTACACTGCATAGTACACCATGATCCTGTATTTTTATTTGTTGACTTATTAAAACTTACCGCCTTCAATTCATCGGTGGGCTCGGGACAGGTGCGCCTAGTAGTAGGCGGCAAGCCATCGGTTCTTTCAGAACTGGTTGTTGGTTTTATGCCAGGTATGCCAGGTATGCTAGGTATGCTAGGTATGCTAGGTATGCTTGGTATGCTTGGTATGCCAGGGGTACCCCATGGTAATTGTGGCTAAAGAAAGTAAACTTCTTCGTAAATGCATCTAAAGTTTTAAACGAATACTTACATTTTTTGCTATGACGAATGTCTAAAAAGAAATATTAATTCAATTGTGACATTTGATTATTTATAATTTCCAGTAAGCAAACAAAATTTCTTACCACGGCAACCAACATCAGTATATAAACTCGGAAAACTGAACGCACCATTTTCACTGAATAGATCTTTGTTCTGTTGAGCGTTGAAAATGATTCTGGTGAAGCTCGCTGTTCTGGTTTATATACCTATGTCTGTTAGTCTTTCGATATTTTTCGATACATTCCCTATTATGTGCATACACCTGTTGATCTTTAAGCTCACAAAAAAAAAAGAATATTTTATGTACACAAGATATCTACTTTTATTTTACGTATCACTGCCGCCGCAAGAGCAGCTGTTTGCGGGACTGACCTACAGCAAAAAATCGTAAAGCTTTTATTTAAGCAATATGTAAACGAAATGAGGTCAAAAACTACGTCTAAAAATCTAAAAAATTGTTTTAGTGTGTGAAACACAATACTAAACCCAGATTGTAGTTAATTCAGGGTTTTCGTTTTTTTCTTTTGCCAATTGGAACCACATTTTCACGATGGTGACATAAATTCTTTTTAGAGAAGTATGAATGCAATTACATACAATTGAAAATAACCTTCACACATAAATGTGCAAATATGTATGTATTAGGGTCCTTTTTTGCGACTATTGTTTTTTTTCACTTCTACTGGACTATTAAGCTAAATTGTAGAAATGGGTAATCAACTTCAAAGTTCAATATCTCAAGAAACGTGGATAATAGCGATTTCGTGTTGTAGAAATTTTTTATAGAGTATTGAATGTCGTACAAGTTTGTGATGTATATTTTTCTGTAGCTCTTGTTATTTTTGAGATAGCGACAAAAAACAAAAATTTCATAAACAAATTGGGTTCAGTGAGCCGTACTACCTCGCTGGTACACCGCAATAAGCTTTTTTGTAGAGCATTCAATTCTGAAGAAACCCCACCATTGACCAAGATTATACCATAAAATTCCTCCGAGCTGTAGACTTTTGAAGAAAAAACTCAATGTTTACGTGTATTTTATATGGGATATCTTTGCACGCCTTGGGCGAGTACTTAAAGTTAATATAATGGGTTCAAATTTTCAGGGCGTTTTTTAGGTGTTTTCCACAAAATTTCGAAGTAGGTGTGAAAAAAACAATAGTCACAAAAAAAGAGGGTCCCGAATTTGGACAGCAATGCTCAAAATCAGCCACAAGGGGAGCATATAGTTCGTTTGCACTCTAAGTCGACGATATGAGCTCTTAGCTGCTCTGAGCTCCTCCTCCTTTCTTTAAAGTCGGTTAAAAAGGAGATCCCTATGATTCTTATTTAATTTGTTCTTAAATTTAACCTATTGTTATAAGGCTTTAGGCCAAATTTTATCACAACCCTTATATTCGGGTTTCAGGAACTAGGAACAATTCACCAATTAACATATCTACAATTTATACTTTTTATCAGCGCTCTGCACGCTTATTGAATTGAATAACGTATCTTTTATGCTTTAATAAAGATATATTAAAATTATTTAAACAATTTTCGCCATATTTGCGTTGTATCCTTAACCTCTTATAAAACGTTGTTTCTCCTGTTTAAATAGTAAAATTAAATTTAATTAACAAGTTCAAACAAAATTTTCTAATACAGATGCCAAACGAACGAGATTCAAAATATGTAAGTTTTATTTCACAAACATTTTTGAAAGGGGTTGCCACCTATTTAAAATGTCGAATTTAATTTTATTAACAAGATAAATTTACTATTACAGTGTGGGTGTCCAACGAAACAAGGTTATTTTCATTAATTTTCAACAGAATACGTACAGTGAAAATTCCAAAGTTCTGGGCCCTTTTGCACCAACGAATTATCATTAACATTTTAGCAGATTATCGAACTTGCGCACAGTTTTGTGTTTCACCAACATGATAAGGAAAAGTCACTCAAATGAGTATTGATAAGTAAAATATCACTCAAAATTATAGATAAGCCTTTCACCAAAATTTGAAATACTTAGCGAAAAGGCTTTAGCGANGTGTTGATAAGTAAAATATCACTCAAAATCATAGATAAGCGTTGCACCAAAATTTGAAATGCTTGGCGAAAAGGCTTTAGCGGATAAGTGATAAGTTATGCAAATTATCAAAATTTATTAGCATTTCGTTGCACCAAAAATTTGTATATATCACTTATCATCTTTCATTTTGCTAACTTTAGCATTATTTTGCTAAAAGTAATTTTACCTATCATACAAGTGATAAGTTACATTTATTCAGTCTGAATGAATTTATTTATTTATTTTTTGTAAAAAGATAATACAATTATACCTTAACAATCTAAAAATTAAGCTCTAACACGTGATTCGACAAAATATTGACACAAAAAATGCTTCGAGAGAAGGAGAATCTGCAAGTAATAAAAGGCGCGTCATAAAAGAAAAAATCAGCTACAGTTTAGACTTTGATGTAGTAGAAAAATTTCGGCTATCTCGTAGCCAAATTGAAGAAATTTTATTAAAAATTGGAGCGGACCTACAATATAACAGTGGGTGTAATAATGGCTTAAGGCCGCTACAGCAATTATTATCGACTCTGCACTAATTAGGTAATGGTAGCCTGTATCATGGAATTGGTCAAATGCATGGCGTTCACAAATTAGCGGTATGTACAATAATCCATCGAGTGGCAAATGCCCTGATAAAGAAATTGATAGATGAAACTTATTTGTTGGCGGGAATTTACGAAAAATATTGCCACACAATTTTTCAACATTGGTGAATTTCCTTAAGACGCAGGGAGCATTGATGGAACTATGATTTGTTAACCGGTACGGAAATAATTTAATTAATGCAATGTTTTTGTGTTTTTGTTACTGAATTATTTTGGAAAGATCCGAATAAATAATCCTTAATTCAGAAAAATTTAGTTATTTATGTAAACAAATATAGTTAAGACGGACTTACTTTTTTCCTTAATAATTTTTAAGGCAGCCAATTTATTGGGTTGGTTTTGTGCGCGCGACATAGTAAAAAAATGATAAATTGAAAATCTTTATCAAATCGCACATGGGTTTGCTAAGCTTTCGTTTTCCATTGAGAAACGGTAATCATTTTAGCTAAGCACATTATTGGAAAAGTTCTCTATTTGAAAAGCAAAAGAAAATGGCTGTTTATGATAAGTAAAAAGTGCAACACTTATCAACTTTACTTTTCAATAAAAAGGCTTATCCAAAAGTTTTAAAGTGATAAAAGATAAGTCGTTGGTGCAATTGGGCCCTGGTCACTATAACCTATAGTCCCCATACAACTGATTGTTCAGATTAGGTATGTGTGATATTCATCGATACTCGATGTTATAGATAATAAGACGTAAAATAGCGATGTTTTATAATCGATTGCGGACTATGTAGAACATCGACACGTCGATGATTCGAGATATTCACTGTTCATACATACAAACATACATACGTATGTAGTTACAACTTTTGCATTTCAGGTGACGATATACCTGAACAAGGTACATTAAAAACAGGTAGAAGCCAATTTGACGTCAAACTTACAAACGTCAAAGCTTTCGGGAGAGTAAAAATTAGAATGAGCACACGAAATGAAAAATAAAAAATAACATTTCACTGGCTGACGTTTTTAAGTAAATTTGAAGTTTATTTTTATTTATTTATTTGTTTAATGTAAATTGGTTTATCGTTTACTAGATCGCTCTCATCCGCTTCGCTGAGTGTATGAAATTTCTACGTGCTACATTAGGTGTAACTTATTTTAATTAAACTCAACAAAATTAAATTTTGCGAAAATCAGGAGACTTAAAATTTTTTAAATGTCTTCAAAATATTTTTAAACTAAAACTATCTTAAATCTCTCTCTTGTGATACTTGTAAAGCCATTTAAAAATCGTTTCGATTGATACTCATATTGTAATAATTCATTAAAATGATTGCAAATTTTGAATTTTATTTCTTAAACCGTTAATTCATATAATATAAGTTTAATTTGAATTTTGAAACATGGACTCCACATGGACTGCTATATATATGTTGCTTAGAAATAAAGCCTTTTCAAGACTCTATCGATTAAAACCTAAATTGTATAACTTATTAAACTTATAATATAAATGAATTCGAATTTAGATTTAACACGGGTAAACTTGACTTTTAAAACAGGTGGCAACCCTTTTCGACATATTTTCCTGCTAAAACCCTATTAAATTCCTCCTACCTGACGTCCATATTTTTATACATATTCCAATTATCAAATTCCTTTAGTTCAAGAAGTATTTGATTTTTCAAACAGGTGGTAACTCTCATACATGTAGTTAAGAACTAAGACCCTTATCAAAAACCTTTCGATTGATGCCCATACTGTAGTAATTCATTTACATTAAATGAATTTAATTTTTAAACGGGTTGCAACGCTTGTAAAACACCTCAGTAATATTTTAAAGGTTCACTCTGAAGGTTTCTTAGCAATCTTTCATTTAACACCCATATATTCATTTTTCAGATAGCTTGCTAATAATTAATTTAAATTTGGATTTTCGAACAGGTGGCAACCCTTTTCAAAATACTTTCAAACTACATCATTTAAAGCCTCTTGTCATCTATTCTTTAATATAATTTTAAAATAAATAATTTCCTTAATTCAAGTCGAATTTGATTTTTTAAACAGGTGGCAGCTCTTCTCCATGAGTATGAAATCATTTAAATTTTTAATAATGGGTAGGTTCAGAAAGCGCAGAAGTTGAGCGCAACCGTTGCTAAAAAAATCAGTGATCATAATGCGCCTTCTGCACGGCTTGTCAAATTCAAAACACACAACATGTTGTCTCAAATGATTATAAAAATATTACGATCAACTGAACAGATCAGAAGTGCAAAACAACGCGTTCAGAAGGTGCAATCGCAACAGTTACTGAGCTGTTGCGACTTCTGAACGTGCCCAATGAAATATTTACAAGTAGGATTTCATTCTTTTTACTTTTGTCTGGTAGTGTGGCTCATATTTTTTACAACGCTTTTATCAACTTGCAATGTTGTGCGTCCAGAAA